ACCTCATGTCCCTTCTCTGAGGAGATTTGAACCCGCGTCATCTAAGCGAACACCACTGAGCTGTTGGGGCTTGCGATTGACCTCCTGTTGGGACTGTATTGGTTACTTTTTGATTGGACACTAGTCGACAACTAGTGCCAACTAGCATGAAATCTAGGTCAGTCAGGCACAAGGCTTCCTGTAGCCGATTGCCTGCAACCATCTAATATCAACAATTCGAAGTGCATCGTGATGGTGAGCCACCCAGAATGGTGACCACATTGCAAACGTTGTTTTTATTCCTTTACGTTCCCAGTGGAATATAGGGCGCCTTCAAGCTAGAGCTTTGAAGTTTCGGTAGCAGTGGTGTTTATTTTTATGGGATGGGGTTGCTAGCTTCATGCCCAACCTTCCCTCTTTTACCAGTCTTATTACTGACTTAGTGAGGTGAAGGAGTGCGTCTGCCAGTGATCGAACCCCGAACCACCTGCGTAGTTGACGAGCATTCTACCGTTGTGCCACCGACGCACATTGCCATATTGACTGATAGAATCCATTCTGCACCAAAGATAAGACTAGACACATTACACTAGCTACTAACCAGTGTCCAGTCAAAAGCTATTTCACTTTTAAAATACAAACCCCCTGTAAACAAGAAACTCATCGAAATTAATCTGATGCTCTCTAGTGACTGGCTGTATGCAGGACAAAGTTGACTGGAGTTCTAGTGTGAACTCATGACCACTAGGGGGAGGACAAATACCCATCTGACTGTTAGAAGTTCGAATTCATGTGCTGGCCTCTGAGGAGAGTCAGGTCATAGTGGCTGAATGGTCTGTGAGCTTACCTTGTAACCGCAAGATCCTGGGTTCCTAAACCCGGCGGTGGGTGCGTGCGTGCGTACTGCCAATGAGTCGCAAACAACAGTATTTATCCACTCTCCTATTATGAGTGAATAGTACTACTAATTCTTAGATTCCACATAAATTAACCTTTCAAAGGATCTGCGAGCGCGAGCTCAAGCACACATACACACACACACATCGGCTGAGGCCAGAACACAGCAACAACAAATAAAATCAGTTTTTCAAAACTTCTATGATAACAGTATTTTTTTTACAGATAAATCGTTGTCTTTCTCTAAATCTTTGAATATATTTGTTTTTCTGTACGGTTTTTGACTGAATGCATTGGTTTCATTTTTACATCTTTGTCTTACTTTGTGATGATGGGACACTAGGTAATAACTAAATATCATGCATGTAGTCCCTTCGTGTTGGTGCATACTGAATTCTCTTCTATCAGTAGTCAAATTTGCTATGTGGTGGCTGGCTATCTATCACGTTAACTTAGTACCTTCAATGTCGATACTCACCTGTTAAGGGAGGATGCTGATAAAATGCAGAGTCTTCTGAACACCTTGAGCAGCAATCTTCGTATGTTTGGCATGCGATTCGCCCCTGTAAAATGTAAGATGCTGCTACAGGACTGGACTACGTGAACTCCTAGCTTAGTGAGTGATAGGGAGTGAAGTGATAGAACATGTTGACCACTTCACCTATTTGGAAAGTTGTATCAGCACCAACGGACTGATTGACGACGAAATCTCAGCATGGATCCAAAAAGCACGAGCTGCTTTCGCTAACTTACGCCATCTCTGGCGTGGGCGTGACATCCGGCTATCAACCAAGGGGCGTGTGTACTGCTCAGCAGTTCGCTCCGTCCTTCTCTATGGCTCTGAAACATGGCCAATACTAGTTGAAGACATGAAAAGGTTGTCTGTTTTTGATCATAGATGTTTACGATCTCTTTCTCACGTTAGGTGGCATAATAAGGTAAGTAATGTTGACGTTAGGCGTAGAGTGTTGGTCAAAGAGGGAAAATCAATCGACGAGGCTATAAAGTTACATAGATTGAGATGGCTAGGTCACGTGCTGCGCATGCCTAGCCATCGCCTCCCCCGACAGGCATCACTAGCTGATATAGGTGCAGGTTGGAAAAGAGTAATTGGTGGCCAAACAAAAACATGGCATCAATCCATGAAATCCCTGACAGTTAAACTGAGTCAAGTAGGGAGATGCAGACTTCTGGGTTGGGGCCCTCGGGACTCTAAGAATCAATGGCTGGAGACACTAGGTGACATGGCTCAAAATCGTTGTCAATGGCGTAGATGTATTCAGTCTCTGTAATCTTTCATATTCCTTTCTACCATTACTCATTCTGTTTCACTCTTATACTTGTCGAAACTCTATTGATTCTCTTCACTCATTTTCTTGTCTACCTTTGTGTGCTATTTGGAACGTGACAACTCGAACTGCTGCACTTGGGTGACAAGTTCTATGTTGAATCCAGACAGACAGACAGATACCCACCCTAACTCTAACTTAGATATTAGTTACTGGTTGGATTGAAAAAAAACATAATTCAATAATTCCTGTCCAATACTAGTTCCAACCATCTAATAACAACAATTCATTGAATAAACCTTGACAGTGAACCAGCTAGCATGATGTGACCATGTTGCAAAGTTGACTTATCGGAGAATTCGGTATGCACCAAAGGAACGACTCCACTCTGCCTTATTCTGTGCAGTCCTCTTTAGATGACCCCATGATATCCCATTATCTTTCGTCTCTTCCTTGCATGACCTTCTCCATGTCAGCCTCGAACACTACCGTTCCACTTGAGCGATGGCCTGGCGCACGATGTCATTCGATGGTCTCCTCAATGGCGTGTGTCCAATTCATCTCCACTTCAGAATATTTCTTGAGCAGTAAGTTCTTGATTGGTTCGTCCCCAGAGTTTCTCGTGGCCAACTCTTTCTGATCTTCAGAATGAACCTAGCAAAAGATGGCACCTGTTGATAAAAGTTTGCAGTGATCTGTTGGAAATGCCTGTCGTGAAGCACGCGCAGTGTAAGTTTCTGACCCATATAGAAGAACTGACTGACTGACTTATCATTGGTGTGGAAAATTGGAATTTTGTTGTTTATGCTGAGTGAGTGCAGAAGATTTCAGAGTGATGAATGTCTGTCTCGCCCTTCCGGTTCTCATTTTGACATCTTCATCCGTGCTGTCGTTTGTAATTGAAACGATGTTGCCTGGCAAGATAAGTGAATGAAGTGTGATATCTTTGAAATTTCTTCCGTTGATAGTCATTGGTTGGTCACTTTCATCACCTCCGTCTTTTCTATGTGTACTGGAAGCCCTGTCTTTGTTGCTTCTTCTGTCAACTTGTTGATTTTTAGCTGTAATTCTTCGTATTTATGTCACATTAGACACGAGTACTTGGCGAAATCCAGATCTGCTTTAGTCGTCTTATTGGTCCAAAATGTTCCTGTTTTCTCGTTCTCCACTCGCAGTCTTCCGCACAATCCAGTCCACCAGAATTATGAATATGATCGTCGTTGATAGTAGTGGGCAGTCTTGTCTTACTCCTGCATTCACTTCAAAGGCTTCTTCACTGAGTTTTCCGTTGTGGATCATTGGACGCTTGACATTAGTTACTACGTGATGTCCAGAGTATCTATTACAATCCTGCAGGAGGTTATCATGAGCCTAATAACACCTCTGACAGTGGTAGCGCTGGGTGACGCGGGTTCGAATCCCAGAAGGGATGTGAGTTCCATCACGGTTTCAGATACGCCTTGCTGACTGATGAGTGCCAACTAGCACGAAACCTAGATCAGTCAGGCAAGGCTTACTCTCTATTATTGTCGATCCAACAATATCTTTGTCTTCCTTATTGCCTTTCTCTTCTCTTCACAGTTCTATATATGAAAACAGAACTTTTTACAGAGTTATTACTGATTGTTTGCTGCTTTTTGGAACCTATTAGCATGTTATTTTAAAGTCAGCTAGCTGTCAAACAACTCTTAATTCCGCCAACTTATTTCAGTGTGTATATACTTCTTTTTATTTATCGTGTTTTCACTGTCTTTATCGTTGATTATTATTTAATAAAATTATGAAATATGATAGGTGTTTAATATCTTAAGACGACAAGTGTTGAAAACACGTAGTTGTGCAGAAGATCTTTTCTCTTTAATAAAATGGCTTTGTTGTCAGTTAGAGAACCATTAGAAAACCAGCTGGGAGTACTGGACAGTTGTTTTTTCGCCTTCATCAGTACGCGCCCACTGGAACCCGATGACCCAATGCCCCACAGACGAATTCCAACTGCTGCCGATTCGAGATACGTGTATAGCATGACCACCAGTCATTGTCGTAGGCGAGTCAATTGTTCTCTTACCCAACATGGTGGAACCTTCTGGTTACGACTTACTTTTCACTAGGAACTGCAGGTACCTTTCTGCATAGAACCAAGCAGCCGCTAGTGAGCATGAGATTGATTATAAATTTATTGATTTTCAGGGATTTGACTGGTTACAAGTTTGATCACGACTTGACACCAGCTAGCTAGTTAGTTAGTTAGTAGGTCCTAGCAGTGGCTGAGAATGGTCTACGAGCTGGCCTTATCACCAAAATGAGCATGGGTTCACCCCCCCGCCCCAGTGGATATATACTTCTGAGAAGTCTCAAACCAGAATGAAACAGCTGTCCAATACTCTCAGGTTTTCCAATGGCTGACTGTGACTGATATCAACTCGTGATGAGACATTCAATCAATTAAATGACTGCAAACCGACTCGTCAACAAACATGAAAATTAAATGCCTCGATGGTTCACACTTGTAGAATACTCACCTGCCACTTATGAGGTCTGAGTTCGATTCCTGGTTGATACACACTGGTAAACTTCGATTGATTGACTAGTCAAGCCGGTGAAAAGGGTAAAATGCAAGTGGAGTGTAAGTTAACTAAATACCTTCAGTGTTAATACCTTAACTCACGTATTGATTACTGGTTAAATTGCAGATTAGATTATTCACTAATTCACAGCTGACACTTGTGTTATCATGATAATTAATTCATGTTCTTTTTTTCTGTTGTTGTTGTTTTTGTCGGAGGTGGTTATGGTATATTTATCTTTCTATTCATTCCTCTATCTATCCTATTCTAGCTATGAAACCGAATGAAATTCAAGAACGTCTTATGCTTACACGAATGCGTGAAGGACGTCTTTGGTATGTTCAACCGTCGATTGCTACAACAGGTGAAGGATTATATGAAGGTTTAACATGGTTAAATTCAAATTATAATTCTCGGTGAATTTCTCTCCTGCGTCTTTCCTTCTTCTTGTTTTCTTCTCCTCTCTTCTCTTCTCTTCTCTACTCCTTGTTTCAAAAATCCTACATCCTTCTCTACTGTATACTTCCTTTGTGGGGGGTGGGGTGATGCAGGGGTGATTTTGATTTCGAAAAATAGATGAGATGATCAGAGCAATATACACATATATAATATATTCAAGCAGAATCAACTCAACCTTTCTAATGCACCACCATGTTACTTCCCTTACTCTTTGAAGTTTATTTTTCTCTCCATTTGAGTCCTGTTTTTTCCTTTCTTCTTCTTTGCCTTCAAGATTCTCGATATCCTTGTTTAATTAAATTGACCTTTTGTGGTTGTTGCTGTTGTTTTCTAGAGTACCACTTTTATGCCATTTGAAACTAAAGTTTCTCACACATCCTCCCTTCTTCACTTTTCTAATAAAAACTCCTCTAGCTATAATATGTGAAATAAAGGAGGTCAGGTATAGGGATAATCGAAAATTCCATTTTCTGTATATGGACTGGAATGAGTGGGATGAGTGGAGATGCCTATGCATATAGCGCTTTCATCATATTATTTCCCTTCTCCTTACTTATTGCTGTATTATTATCCTCTTAGGCTTGTATACAATACCCCCTTTTTCTTATGTGTGTGCTTTGGCTTCTTCCCGTTTTGTTATTGTTTGTGTTTTTTTTTGGATTTCACCCTCCTTTGTTAATTCATTTTTAATTTTGGGGGATGACTGATGTTCTGTGGAAGTGATATATATTCCATGCCAATACCACACTATGCTGCACTTCGCTGCACTACACTACACTACGCCCAATCAACTTCTTTATTAGAGTGACTTTTTACAATCATATTCATATAAGCAATTGTTTAATTAATCCCCTCACCCCCCCCCCCTTTGTACAGTTTATTATTATTATTGTTATTATTATTATTAATTTAATCTACCACCAAATGTACCTGTTTTATCGTTGGTGTTTTGTTTAGTTATTTTTTACTTGTTATTATTATTATTGTTGTTGTTGTTATTGTTGTCGTCGTACATTCATCATCCACACGTTTGTGCTGATGGTGGTGACGGTGAGGATTGTGATGACGTAATCTAATCTAGGAGTGATTTTTTATTTCCGGTTAATTTCACCCTTTTATTATTATTATTACTACTACTACTATTATAGGTGTATTTCATTTTATATCCCCGTTTGTATTTTATACATTTATGTGTGCGTATGTACGTGAGTTGGGTGGGGGCGGGGTGTTAGAAGAAGGCGGCGTAGGTGGGCGGGGGCGGGGGCGGAAATAGGAACAAATGACAAGTAGTTATCCTCTTTTGTGTCTATGATTGTGTGTGTATGTATGTATGAGTGGGTGGCTGGCTGGGTGCTTGTGTTATCGTTATTTTCCCTTTGAAATATCTCAGAGAGAGAGAGAGAAAAATAATAGAATGGAAAGAGGGTGGGGGAGAAGGAACTCACTTCTCTACATTGTTGATTACCTCTCATTTTCCGTTTTTTTATTATTTTAATTTCCAATTATTACAGAATAATAATGACAATAATAATAGGTGGTATCAGATCAACCTGTATATGATTACTAATACTACTACTGCTACTCTTCTACATTCTGTTATTATTTTTTAGTTTCTTATTCCAATGAATTGCTTCTTTTTTAGTCCAGTAATGCATGAGTAGTGTGCATGTTTATCTGTTGGGAGCTGAATATATAGATAAACCTACCCCCTAGTGTGAATTCATGCAGGTATTCAATAAATAGGTCGTATTTATCATCCAAGAATTTCTGCCCACATATTTAGATTATGAATAAATCAACAGGAAGGCTTCTTTTGTTTGTTTTGAGAGGAGAAGGCGGCAGCTTTTATTTTTAAACTCTCAAGTTTTGCTTTAATTTTTTCTTTGTCTATCTTGGATTTTCTTTTCCGGTGTTGTGGTTGTTGTTTTTTTAAGTCGTCGTCGTCGTTGCAGTGTAGTTTATTTTCTCCGTTTATCTCTGAAAAAGAGAAGCGCTTTTCATCAGTGAGTGAAATGTTCTGTCCTGTTTTGTTCAGTCATCTTGTATAAGTCAGGGGGAAACGGGGAGGGGAGGATGAATAAATTATTTGAGTATATATAGGGCGTGTATTCATCCTCTTTTGTTTTTCAGAATTGTGATCATTTTGTTTGTGACGTATTATAAATATTATGTGGAATAAACAGGTGTAATATTGCATGTGTACAACTTGTTTTCCTGAATATATGCATAGTGAAGGCTTTTTTTGTCGGTATATTTAGTAAAACGATGTTATGATGTATGTTTCAAGTTTTTATGTCAGAGTGTTACAAAATTGTCGGACCGTTTATCTTGACTAGAATATGCGCTTCCAGGACACGATACGATAACACCTACTAATAAAATGAATGTACTACTGGCTGATTGAATTGAGTAGTTGCATAGGGTTCATATCAACTAGTAGAACTTGCTAGGCAGCCAGCCAGGTCGAAGTGATCTAAACGCCAGATGGTCGTTTTGTCTGCTTGGTGCCATGCTCATCACCAATGTACCTAGCGGGTGTAACTCAACTCAGAGCGCTGAATCAATTAAAGCTACCCGATTTCTGGCTGGTTACTTGGTCATAACATACATAAATCAAATTCACGATTTGCAAATTGTATTCAGATCACCTGGATCTGTCTAGAAAGTACTGCTGGTTGATATGAGTGGTGGGCAACTGTAACGACAGAAGACAAGGGCCAGACAACAGATCGTTTATTGAGGAAATCAAGAGATATTTATGGATTTTTATGTACATTAACTATTCGTTATTATTGGCAGAGAAACAGCGTCTTCTGATTGGTTGTTTTTTCGCTTAAGTTATTCTGTCATTTCTTTGAAGGTCAGATCATATATATCTGCGAATCGTATCCGCCCACGCAAAATCTGCTGTGATTGGTTATTTAGTTAGTCTTCGTTTTTGTCTTTTTTTTCTCATGACCAACATTGGGGACGTAAATTGTGCTGTCTACCAATTTGGGCTAGCAGACAGCTCTGACCACACGACTACCCATCTTCACCAATCAGTAGTATATAGGTTTTTGCAGTGCTTTCTTGAAATTCCGTGCATTTTCACCCCTCGAACTGGGAAAATCGCAAATTGTGAATAACCGACTGATCACTTAAAATACCTCCAACTCTGAAGATGGACACAAAACAGTCAAACTGGAAAAGACGAGGACCTGAACGACGACTGCAACAGGAATAACTGCAACCGTGACTACCTTTATCAGATGAAATATACAGTACATCGTGTTTACATAGCCTCAGGAATATAAGCCATAAATAAACAAATCTGATTGGCTGTCTGGCCTCAGGAAATTACGCTATAAATAAACGAATCAAAACTGCCCAGTAAGGTTGTGGTGAGAGCTGACTGCGAACAAGCCAAAATTGTAGACAACAATTTACATCAGCGTTCACGTCCCGAATCAGGGTCAAGAGAAAAAAAAACAGTAACAAAATTTAACCTTGAGGAACTCAACAATCAATCAAAGTGGAGTTAACCCATGCAAATACGATTCGCAGACGTGTGGCTTAACTTTCTGGGAAATAGTCACAAGCAGTACAAAATAACATTGAGCAAGAAAACAACCAATCAGACGAGGTTGCTTCTCCACTGACAATAATGTACATAAAAATTTCTAAATATCTCTTGATTTCCTGAATAAACAATCTGTCGCCTGGTCATTATCTTCTGTCGTTACAAGGTTATCAGGTCATTACATGCATAATTCACGACTTCATAGCTAAAAAAGAAGTTTGTCCATCGTATCAGTTGAAGCAGAAAAGGGATTAGAATCCGATAAATGAATCATAATATGATACATATATTTCTCATATATTGTATACTGATTGTTGCTTTAGTGCCGCTTTGCATTGTCCATCATTATATATGGCTTAATAGAGTAATTTAACCAACTATATCACCGATTGTGTTTTTGATGGAATTTCGACAAGTATATGAAAAAGCTTTTATGACGTCCTTTTTCTCACACTCAATAGTGTGCTATGTAAGATGGGAAACCGAACAAGCTAAAGTATAGCGATCCAAGAGTGCGAATGCATTAATGATCCCGAACGCCATATTATTGGTTGGATAAAGAGACTTTTGTGGCGTGTTACTACTGACGAGATTTATCAGCAGTGTATGGAGAGGTGTACATTAGCACAAAAAATATCAAATAGGAAAGAGATGGATTTGACATCAAAGAGAAAAAATGGACCAGTGTTAAAGCGAAATACGGAGGAGACACAAAAAGAAGACAAAGAAACACAATACGTGAAGGTCAGAAGTAGCACAACACGGAAGATCGCCGCAAATGACGATTTGCAGATAAGGTGTACATAATATCCTTATATGGAGATATCAAGTTCCAAATAAGTCTCTTGTCTTCTACCGTTATACTACCATTATTATAGTGCCGTTGTGAACGCTGTGTCATTGTAACAACAGAAGATGAGGCCCAGGCAACAGATAGTTTATTTAGGCAATCAACAGATATTTATAGATTTTCATGTACATTATTATATATTATTGTAAGCAAACAAACACAGTCTTCTGATTGGTTGTTGCTCACTACAAGTTAATCTTTCATCTCTTTGTGTCTGTTTTTTGAATGTCAGATCATCTATTTGCTAACTGTATCCGCCTACGCAAAGTCTGCTGTGATTGGTTGTTGAATCAGTCTTTGTTCTTATTTTTCTCATAACCAATATCGGGGACGTAAATATTGACGTAAATTACATTGTCTACCAATTTAGCTAACAGCCAGCTCTCACCACATCATGAAATGAGGTGCAGATTTCCTCCCGATCTCGATTTTTAGTACTGTTTGGACAAGGTATCAATAGCTCGTTAGGGTTACGATCAAGGTTTTGGATTCTGATTAGGGTTTAAATGTTTCATTTTTCTCAGTTTTCTAGTAAATAGTTCTCAGCCC